GTGCATGAGGCTCCCACCATTGTAAGGTCTGAGTGGAGAAGCTGTTTATGTGACACCATAACTACCAAGGTCACTAGGTATCAAGTAACCTTACTACTATTGATTTAATAAGCCATTCAAGTTTTTCCTGTATAACATTCATGTAAAGGTAAAATGGATGCTCTTTATCTTATTTTGTTATCTATGGTAGGTATGTACTATTGTAACCTGACTGCAAGTTGCTTATACTAATGATATTGCCATTTGGTATTTTAAAATATGCAGTTTTTTGTAATAGACTATGAGACCTTGAGCACTAGTATACGTTTTTCTATCACAATTTCAACTATGAACAAGTTTATTTTGAGTAACACTGCTAGAGATGTCCAATAATTCTTTGGTTTAGTTTTTGTTCCTGTTTTCCTTGATTTCCTTTTTGTCCAATAATGACCTGTTAATTAGCTGTTGTTTCTAAAGCAAACTGATCTGCTGTTACTTCCTAGTAGTCCCAGCTGATGAGTGCTTGTATAAATGTTTACTCACTCAGTTTAAGAACAATGTGGATCCTCTGGGCAATTATAAGCATTTATTGCAAATTTTAGAAGGTCGATCTGCATTGGAAAGACTATGGTTGAGAATATGGTTTGGCAACTCACAGGATATTTGTCTGACTTGTAAATTTGTATAGTGAATTAGTGTATTGTCTTTGTTGAAATTCCTGAGGTGATAGTTATTATTACAAGGACAGAAGATTTAGAAGACAGGCTGGTTGAGAATATGATTTGGAAACTTAACAATGTACTTGTCTAACTTGTAGATTTAACAAACAAATTAGCATGTTGTCTTATTGAAGTGCCTGATGTGAGTTATTATTAGAAGGTTAGAAGGTCAGTTTGTCGAATGATTCAAGGTTCTATTAAAGCTAATACGCAATGGAGTTATTTTGTGTATGCTTATATTTGATGGTGCAAAGTGATTGGTTATTAACTCATTATTCAACATTTTTTGTCTTTTTCCTGGCGCCTATTTTTCTAACTGATTTCAATTGTGCTGCCTGTATGTATGGATATTAATGCCTCAACATTATGAAAATAATTTCATCACACAACATTTTGTTTTTCTCGTTGTTTGTGTGCATAATGTTTTACTTTGTTGAGTATTATTCATCACCGTACAAATTTGGCAGGTGCTGCTTTGAATACCATCAAAAGGACTGTCAAGTACTTATGCCCTGCTGACATTATTCCCCCGTATATTGATGTGGATTTAAGTGAGTTGGACGTCGGCCAGAAGTTAGTCATGGGAGATCTCAATGTTCATCCTGCTTTAAAACTACTTCAGTCAAAAGACGAAGCTGTTTGTAAAATTATGGGCCAAAGAGTTTCTGAAATACAAAAGAAATCTAAGTAACTGCTTTTTGTATCATTGGGGGTTATTGGTGCTGCACTGAGGCATTTGATAGCTAACATGTATCACTCAAGGTCATTTTATTAGTTGATTCTTGGAAGCAGTGAGGACAGGGTTCTAGAATTCCAATGTTAGGCTTTTGTTAGCTTCCTTTGCTGTGTTCATTCAGTTCCTTCCCATCTTTCTTCAATTATTTGTTTCCGCCGTTTCTTTTGGCAAAAACGAAATACCTAGGGGATGCGAATAGGAAGTTGATGCGTCGAGTTTTTGTATGCAATTTCGATTGTTCTGTTTTGGGTTATATTGCGTACAAGCAGAGAGGGTTACTACCACTGATGTCCTCGTGTCCTTAATAAAATACTTAAGTCCACCTGTCTAGAACTCCAGTTTGGATTTAAGATATCTGACAGGGTATTTATAAACTTATTTACATTTAGTCGATGTTTGCCCAAATATTTGGTTTTATATTTTGTGTAAGTTCTAAAAAGTGTGCTTGTAAATAAATAGTCCATAATTTTTTTGTATAATTATAGGAGGTATAACTCTCTTGTCATGTTTTATTATCATGTTTTATGAGTAAAGTAATCCTTTTAGTTGTGACTTGTGATTCTATGCCGTAGCCGGATAAATAGTTCATAATGATCAGAAATTCAATCGCTGAAATGTGTCTTATAGTTTACAAAATCAGCTATCTAGCATTCAAAGGTCGACCGACGAGTGGAAGTAATTTACTAAGGTAAACTCTAGCCGGCGCAAAAATCTGTAGATGTAAAGTAGTAAAAATTCTCTTATTGGCCTTTTGTGTTTTCAAGATTAGTTTCAGCCTCCACTCCCCCCAAGTTTTGTAGCAGAGAATATGAGCAGAAGCAAATGGAGGTCGCCTGATGCGCTGACTCGGCCCATTCCGGGTCATTCTAATTTAACTAGGTTATTGGGCTTTGTTTGGGTACAAAGTCAGATGGTTCATGATATATACACTTCGTTTTTTTTATAAGTACACTTTTTTTTATAAAAAAAATAATTAAATTTTTAAAATATTCTTAATTTTTTTATTTTACATCCATAACATTTAATTTAGTACTCTTTTTTTTCACACATCTTCTCTCCTTTTTTCAATTTTCACATATACCTTCTTACCTTTTTTTCACCCTACTTATTTTGGTAGGTAGTTTTAATTTTTTTAGTTTTACATTATTCTCTTCCCTCCTCTTTCAATTTCCTTACTATTATCTCCTCTCTCCTCACTTTTAGCATTTATTACCTTACCCAACTCATGTAAGTATAAAAAAAACAGTGTGTGGTCTGTATTCGATACACAATTTCCCAAATTCTATGAGGATGTTAGAAATTTGTTATTTTTTGTTTGTGTCTCGTTTGGTAGATTTACTGATTAATCCTTATGATCTTGTCTAATGTTTGAGAAGATAATGGAACAAGTAATTAGCCTTAAACAAATGATTTGTACATACAAAAGTGACGGTAAGTCTTTTTTTAAAAAGATATTGAGTTGTAAGATTTGGTAAAAAAAGAAAAAAATTTGAAAGATTTGGATCAGACTAATTTCATTTATTTTAAAATAAGGTTATTATTTGAATTATAATAGGTAAAAAGAATTAAAAGAATAGAGGGAAAAAATACATTAGCTTCTAAAAAGTAGTCATGTTGTATTTTAATAAAAAAAATTGATTAAAAATATTATTTCATATCTTAATTGAATCAAATCAATAAATTAGCAATTACACTAAGGTCATTAATAATTGTATGTGATCAGTGTTAACTCAAGTCTCAGCAAAGAGTAATATATAAATCAACTAAAAAGAATAAAATTATGTCAATCGACTAAAAAATATATTAAGAAATTTGAAATGAAAAGGAAATAAGAATTATTTAATTTTAAAACCTTGTAATATCGATCTACTTAATTAATAGTAATAATAATGAACTTAAAAAACATATTAAGGAAAGACTAATATCTATTTAATATACAATCAAGTTAAAAAATGCTTCAACTTATGTATAAATATTTTTTATTTAGGTTAAAACAATACTATCAGAAGAAAAAATTGAACTTTAGGTCATGTAATGATTTGGCAGCAAGATAGAAAAGTCAAATTGGAAAAAATCTAGTAAGACTAAATAGGATTTTATCAATTAAAAATGCAAGAATATAATCCAGAAATAATAATTATTAAGGAAAGAGTATTAAGTAAAAGCTAATATATTAATATGAATAAAAAATAAAGAATTAAAGAAATATATTTACAAAGGGTTATTATTTGAATCAAACTAATTTCATTTATTTTAAAATAAGGTTATTATTAATAGGTAAAAATAATTAAAAGAATAAAGGGAAAAAATACATTAGCTTCTAAAAAAATAATATACGTGCAAAAAAGTTTATCAATGTCTTTACTAAAATCATTGACTCATTGTAATTGATTTTGAAAACAATGTTCTTACTAATCATAATTTTTTAGTGAAGATAAAAATTTCAAACAGAAGCAAGAACAAAAAACTACACTATCCAATAATGAAATTTATAATTGTTATAATTTATGAAGAAAAAAAAACCTCTTCATCCACCAAAATCATCTCCAAGAAATTTGTTTACAGTAGTTTCTTAAACTCTAGCAGCCTCCACAATCTTATTATACAAACTCTTATCTTCCAATCAATTTTCTCTGCTGCAATATCTTTTAGTAATGTAAATCTCTGAGTCATGTCCTCTAAAAAGAAGATAAAAGTATAAAAAAAAAACTTTTAATAATATGTTCACTATACATCAACATTGAAACAACCAACCTTTAAAATTAAAACTTCATACAGACTTACCTAAAAATGGTTTTCTTATGATTGATAGAGAAAGTGTGAATCCTCATATTAAAAATTCAAAAGTACCCAAATCAGAAAGTGGACAATGTATATATGGAGAGAGTATTTTTAGAAATAGAGACTATGATGGAATAAGACAATCAGAATGAAGTTTTGAAAAGAAAAATGCCTTAAAAATGAGAAGATAGTTGAGATCAATTGGTATTGAAAAACTGCAACCAATACATAGGAAATAAATATCCATAATTGCTTCTCTGAGTGAAAGACAAAGTGCGCAAACAATTTAATGAAAAACCTATGAAGCAGAGAATAAGAGGAAGAGGAAGGGTTTATGGTATTATATGATTGGGTTCAGATCTCGTGCAATGTTTCTTTGTTAATAAGAATTATCAATTGACATTAAAAAACTATAATCAATGCATAAGAAATAAATATCCATAATTCCTCTAGAAGATAAAGTGAAAGCAATTTGATGGGAAACGTATAAAGTAAAAAGAAAGAGAAAGAGTTTTTCTTCTATTCAGAAGTACTACAAGTTTAGAATTTATTAAATTAAAAAAATAAAATTCAGAATAATTATGATAAGATAAAGTTATATAAATATCCTTATTTTGAGAGAAAAATGAGTTACAAACTTCCTTTCTTTTATTATAATAAAGATAAAGATTTTAAAAACAACTAAAAGAAGTTAAACTTATTTCAAGAAAAAGCCTAACCATAAAAAAAAAAAACTGAAAGCTCATGGGCCAATTCCCTAAACCCAAATCCTTTCTTAAATTTATCTCTATGACTTCATGCGGAACACAACTCGGTATGGTCTCTGGAGGCAAGTTAGTGGTGACAGTGCAACTTTGATAACCAGCTGCTTCAATGGAAGCAAAGAGGTCACAAATGGAAAAGGAAATACCGAAATAGGGTTGTGTGGCCAATGAGTGATTCTCAATTGGGGGAATTATTTTTCAGGTTTTTCAACATCGTTGGGAATCCACGATTATACGTTTTTACGAGAAAAATCGCGATTTTGCTACGATCCTACCTCCCAACGATCCTATCTCCGATTTTAATAACACTGGCTGTGGTTCTCTAATTCTTTTCATTTTGTGTGCTGAGCAGAACCCTCACTGTGCAAGCATTGGGTAATTGCAATGAGCAATTCCTCCTCTGGAACTGGAACATCATCAAAACCGAGGGCAGCTTCCTCGCAACCATCAGAAACTTCATCCAAGCGCAAAAGAGGAGTTTTCCAAAAAGAATGTAAGCTTTTTTCTTCATAATTTTCAACATTTAACCCTACTTTCTTATCAGTCTCCTTTGGTTGCTATAGTGCAGCACATGATGTATGGCTTTGGAGATGACCCTAATGTAAGTCTCTAGTGTTATCATTCTATACATCTTCTTTTCATGTAAATTTTAAAGAGCAATGTCTATTAACTTGAACTTTTATTCTTGTTTGCCACTGTAATTAGCCACTTCCTGAAAGTGTGGCACTTATGGAGGACATTGCTGTGGAATATGTCACAGAATTGGTAAGACTCCTAACCCTTTAGTTCTTCAGCTCAGTTTGACTAGTTAGTTAGCTTTGTTGTCCTCATGCTAATTTTCTCTGCAAAGGTACATAAAGCCCAAGATATTGGATCTCAGAGGGGGAAGCTATCAGTGGAGGATTTCCTCTATTTGATTCGCAAGGTACATTTTTATTCTCAATAATTATTACCAAGATTAATAATTATTGGGGAACCTTGAATTCCTCTGCATCTCTTTTCATATAGTCCATCCTTTTAGTAAATATAGAACCAATATTATGTATTGGAAGAGAAAACACAACTGAATAAATGAATTAAAGAGGAATCCAGCGCAAGCTAAATAATAAAGAATGCAATAAATGAAAACATATAGTAATTATTAGATTGTTTTAACTATATAATTAATCTAATTATCAAGCAATCAAGTAGATTTATAATTTTTTCTAGAGCAATCAACTTAATCTGTTTATATAAGAAAATAATAAACAATACATATTACAATGTATACATTTTTATACCAAATCACATGAAATTGAAATATTTTATAAACTATCGTCACTATTTAATAAAACTAAATGACTATTTGTTTTTAGGATTTTTTATTCGTCAATCGAATTCTTCTGATTCAAAAACCTTTCTTGCTTGTTTCAGCTCTTCATTCATAGACAGGAGTTCTGTACAGCGGTTAAGTTTTGGCAAATCCTGCGATACATAATTATATATTATAGATATAAGACAAACAACAAAAGATTATTATGAAACGACAAACAAATATTATGTTGTAATGTAACCCTGTTGTTTTAAGGTAGATGTTATGAACATACGACAGCCTAATGCCATGTTGGCTCAAGATTCTCCCTCTAAAGACTACAACATTTCAGATTTTTTGCCTGAGCTGCATCTAGGCTTGTAAGACAATTCCAGATTTCTTATGTGACTTTGATAATTAACAAAAAGATTATCATGTACTTGCAATTAAATATGACGGTAGTGAGATCATGTTTAAAAGGTAGATGACATGAACTTATGACAGCATAATGCCATGCTAGCTCATGATCTTGTCAATGAAGGCTACAACATTTCAGGGTTTTTTTTCTGAACCAAGTCTAGGCTTGCAAGACAACTTAAAATTTCTTAACTGCTATATCCGGGATAAGACCATCCAGAAGTTTGTTGGGTAATCAGTTCTCCGTACCAACCACCAAAGCAGTGGATTCATTTTTTTCTTCACTTTTTGAACAAAAGATTATGAGTTAGTCTTCATTAGCTTCTCATAATATCATGGTACATTTGCTCAACTAACCCTGCTAGTACACTTGCCCCCTAGCCTTGTGGAAGGGAAACCCTTTGCAAGGGTATAGATGTGAGGTGAAGTGATGGGGTAGTCGAAAGGTTGGGATGATCTCTAGCGTTGGATCTTGAAGATTAGGCAGTTACACTTTTTGAATTTTGAATTTTTCCCGCCTTTTTTCCTTTGCTATATATAGCGATGAGTGGTGGGGCCTTTTACACATATCGCTCTCAGCCGAATCATGTTTCCCGAGCAAGTTTGAAGATTGAATTGCGCGTCGAGTGACCATTGTGAATTTGCATTGTTGGTAAGTCTGCTTCTATGGCTACTTCATCTGAAAGCTCTTCGGCTAATGAGGTTCGGTCGTCATCATCCGTGGGGTCCTCATCCAGTGATTCGGGGCATTCGCCGAATGAAGATGGACGGTCTACCGAGATCATGAGCACCTCCGAAGAGGCCTCGACCAGTGGAAGTGAGGGGGTGCCGATTAGGACTAGGCGTGTCTCAAATCGACAAAAATATGGGCCTTCCGAAGTGCCAGAGTATGAATGGGTGAACGGAGAGGTGACTTCATATTACTCGCGTTACCGAGATACCACAATGATTACCAACCTACTGGATTACACGAAATGTTTACATTTTGACGCGAAAGAGGAACCGTACCCAATTGGGGTTCGAGCGTGCCGAAAAAACGCTTTCCCAGATCCCGACACGGTCTGCTTAGACAAGCAAGCCGAGAGGATGGCGTCTTTCTATATATATGACTGCCTTTTGAGAGATCTGAAAGTGACGCTGCCATTTGATGAGTTTACGATGGGAGTTCTTCGGGTTTTGAATGTGGTGCCGACCCAGCTTCATCCGAATAGCTGGGCCCAGCTTCAGGGGTTCAATCATCTATGCCGATGTGTAAATATTAGCCCTTCTACCTTGCTTTTTCTTTATTTTTATTCATCTCGGCCGTCGGACTTAGCGAAGTGGGTATCTCTTAACCGAGTGGGGACTCAACAACTTTTGGATAGCTTTACTTCGTCCTATAAGAACTTCAAGGCTGGGTTCTTTCGAGTGACCATTCGGCCGAACGGACGGAGCTTCTTCTTTGGTGTTGACGACAGGAGTTTGTTTCCGTTGTATTGGACACGTGCCCCTCGACCATATGATGAAGTGCCGGACGAGCTTCTCACAGCCGAAGAGCGAGAAAATGTCCAATTTTTGCTTCAACTTCCTCGGCGTTTGCCGACGAGGTCGCTAATTAACTTGGTCGATTCATCCCGATGGGATTATGATTTGATAGGTGAGTGACTTTCTAGTTTCGGCCTTAAGCTAAATTCATATTGATGTTCACTTGGTTATTCATGCAGGAATCATGGTGAAGAGTGGTGCGAACGAGTTCAACATTCGTGACCTCCTTGCCAGTCGGGTGCAACAAGTGAAAGCTTCCGGGGTTATGGGTAGTTCATCGGTTGCTCCATCGCCTCAGCCAGAACAAGACAATCGAACTCCTCCTTCGCCGACTCGCAAGCATAAAAAAGGGAAGAAAGGGAAGGAAGTGGCCGAGGAGAGGCATAAGAGAAAAACTGCCGAGGAGAGGCCTGAAAAAACCAAAAGGTCAAAACAAAATGTGTCTTCACCAGGTGGAACGGTAATTTGCGTCCCCCCTGGGTTGATGTCTAGGTCCTTTTGGGGTGAAGGTGTGTCTGCCGATGCACTCGTTCGACCAGAGGGCTTCTCGGAGTAGGGCCGAGAGTTACTGAGTCAGCTGGACGTAGTATCCAAGTGGAAATACTACTGTGAACTACAGTCTCAATCCTTAGCCTTGGTGAACCAACTTGCTATGGGGTCGATCGGTGAATTGATGCAGATGAGGAAAAGACTGGAGGAGGCCGATAAAGAAATAGCCGAGGCCCATGCAACGACCGAGGAGGCCCTAACTACCAACTGCCAACTCGCAGCGGAGTTAGACGTGCAGAGGCGCAACAACGACACTCTTCGGCTAGACCTTCAAAAAGCAGAAAACGAGGGGAAGCGCCGAGCCGAAGAGGCCCAGGCCGAGCTGGAGAGGTTTAAGGAGGAGGCGAAGGATCACATAGTGGCTCAGCATGAGGCCGATTTTCATCATGCTCTTCGACAAGCATGATACTTTGTCATTTTCGCGAGGGCTTTGAGTTTGATATGACCAAGGATTTTTACCAGGGGTCATTTATGTCGTTCGGGGAGATGCCCGTCGGGGCGGTGCCTGATAATGAGGAGCCGAACGACACCTTTGAAGAGGAAGAGATTCAAGGTGCTTCGGATGACGAGGATGAGGATGAGCAACTCGAGCAGGATGGTGAGCAAGGCGACGAGCCAGAAATTCAAGATGCCCCCGTGAATCCTGAGGATTAAGTGTTTCGATAGGCCGATAGAGCCTCATCTTTTTTTTTTTGTATGAAAAAGGTCATTAGAACCTTCTGAATAAAATTAGTGTTTTTTCTTTCATTCCGAACTAGTGCTTTATATTTTTGACTTGCGAAATCCGGGGAGTTTTACGCAAAACCGTATATTACATAAGTTAATAACTGAATAATTCGTCCCAAGAAGAACCGAGTAAGATTAATTTGAACCTAAACCGAGTAACCTCATCCGGTTCTGTTTTCACCTTGGGAGAAAACCAAAAGGAGCCGTTCGGGATAGAATGCTTTTGAGTCAAAACTGACTTGAGTCATTCGGAATTGATGCCTTTTGAGTCAAAATCGAATGGGTTCATTCGGATTTGGGTGTTTTTGGAAACAAAACCGAATGGGTCGTTCGGCCTTGATTGGATTTTGAGTCAAACCGAACGGGTTCATTCGGAATTCATTGCACTTGAGTCAAGGCCGAATGGGTTCATTCGGATTTGGGTGTTTTTGGAAACAAAACCGAATGGGTCGTTCGGCCTTGATTGGATTTTGAGTCAAACCGAACGGGTTCATTTGGAATTCATTGCACTTGAGTCAAGGCCGAATGGGTTCATTCGGATTTGGGTGTTTTTGGAAACAAGACCGAATGGGTCGTTCGGCTTTGATTGCATTTTGAGTCAAACCGAACGGGTTCATTCGGAATTGATGCCTTTTTGGGTGAAGACCGAAAGAGTTTATTCGGCATTGATTGTTTGTGTCGAACCTAAACGAAAGCCTTTTTTATGAGTTTCCGAGGCACATCCTTAGCCGAGTTGATCAACTCGGGAGGGAAGCCTTTTTTGTTAGGTTCCGAGGCACATCCTTAGCCGAGTTGATCAACTCGGGAGGGAAGCCTTTTTTGTTAGTTTCCGAGGCACATCCTTAGCCGAGTTGATCAACTTGGGAGGGAAGCCTTTTTTATGAGTTTTCGAGGCACATCCTTAGCCGAGTTGATCAACTCGGGAGGGAAGCCTTATATTGTTGTGTATTATTCAAATGAAAGCAAGTAAGAGTGAGAAGAATGAGTTGAATCTGCCTTTCATTAATGGGTGCCTCGTTAAAAACCTTGTCGGCCAAAACCCCTTTTCACATTTTTATAAGGGAGAAAAGACTGATCAAGGAAAAGAGTGCACCATGAATGTACATCAGCTATCTTTATACAAATCAACTATAGTACATTTTTAAATGAGTTGAATTCCATGTTCTTAAGATGATCTTGTCTAAGAGCTCTTCAAGCTTGTATGCGCCATTGTCAAGGCTGTGTCGAACCCGAAATGGGCCGTCCCAATTTGCTGCTAACTTACCTTCTCGCGGATTACGCCTTGCTGACCCCTGAACTCTCTATACTAAATCTCCTTCCTGGAAGCTTCTTTTAGAGATATTGGAATTGAACCGCCGAGTCATCCTTTGCTTGCATGCTTCGACCACAATCTGAGCGCGAGCGCGTACTTCATCTACTAGGTCAATTTCCACTTGCAGGGATGCATCATTCGA